CTCCATGCTGATCGACGAGCTTCATCGCGGAGATATCGTGGGCGATGGTGATCCAGCAACGCTGTTCGGCAATGAATCTCGAAACGGAGTTGGCGCCATCGGCCCACTCACCGCAGGCGATGGTGATCCAGCAACGCTGTTCCGCAATGAATCTCGAAACGGAGTTGGCGCCATCGGCCCACTCACCGCAGGAGGAGTCTTCCTCCATGCTGATCGACGAGCTTCATCGCTCCCGAGCAAAGGCTGATCGCTCCCGAGCGTAGGCTGATGCATCCTTCCACCCGGGCCTGGCCAGAACTGCGAGGACGACCCGGCATGGACACCGTAGCCGCTTGACCCATTGAAACTGCTCCCCGGCCGTACGACGCGAGCAGCGCAGCGTGCGTCATTTGTGAAGGAGGAGCGCAGTATGTGCTGGGAGACCCTGACATGTGCGGACCCTGAAACCCCTCGCGCATTCTCCCGTACATCCAGATCCGATCAGCGATACCGGGGGGGGGTGCGCCACGTTGAGAGGCCGCCAGGAAGATGTCGTCCTCTCCTGCAACGAACGGATCGGAATCGTCGCTGATGCTTGCTCGCCATGGAGAAACGGGCACTGTGTCACCAGTCATGCAAGAGCGTGGCTGTGATGATGGCGTGCCTTCTGTTTCACCGAGCATAGCTGCCATCTGATGATGATGTACGCTGGCGGGAAGGCTTGCATTCTCCATGTGATGCCATGGAGAAATCGGCACTGTGTCACCGGTAAGGCAAGAACGTGGCTGCGACGATGGGGTGCCTCCTGTTTCACCAAGCATAGCCGCCATCTGATGACGATGTGCGCTGGCGGGATGGCTTGCATTCTCCATGTGAAGCCATGGAGAAATCRGCACTGTGTCACCGGTAAGGCAAGAACGTGGCTGCGACGATGGGGTGCCTTCTGCTTCACCGAGCATAGCCTCCATGTGATGGCGATGTGCGCTGGCGGGATGGCTTGCGTTCTCATGCGGCCACCCTCCGTGCTGCTGCCTGTTCAGGTCGAACTCCTCACGAGACGATTGCGGCACCGTGCGAGGACGATCCTCGAAGGACCGTGGACGAGGCTCGCTGACGTCCCCGACTCCCATGAAGTCCATATCCCGGAACGCGGCAGATGACGAATTCGAGAGTGCTCCGCGACCTGCGCTGCTGATTCAGAACACAAGAACGCCTGAAGTGCTCTTGCCTCGGGTGCAGTAAATGCACTTCACACGCTGAGGCAGTGAATGCGCGTCGCGCACTTCCATCCGTGGAGGTGTGTCTTGCTTTTCTGCTGCAAGGAAGGGAGGTCTTGGACTCGGCTCCCAAGGGGCGGCGAGCGTATCCGGCTTCGGGCGCGTAACGGATGTGCAGAGCAGCGGGGCGAAGAATCTCACTGCAAACCAGAGCACGTTCGAGCGCGCTCGGCGCAGCTCGGCAACGAGGGAGCAACCATGCAGCCGGCAACATGTGCGAACTGAAAAAAAAAAAAAAAAAAAAAAAAAGTGACACGTGCGAACTGAAAAAAAAAAAAGAAAAAAAAGTGACGGGTGCATCTACCCGTCTTCCACAAAAAAGTTCATTGAATTCTCATTTTGCATATTTCGAGAGTGGTGCGGCGATGCCCTTGCACCCGGCCGCAGAGAAGACGGCGCGGCCATGGCATCTTCCCCCGTCCCGGCAATGGCTTCCGTTCACGACAGGCTGCACACGGCATTCGAAACTGCGCTGGGCGCAGCTCGACAGCAAGGGAACAGCCGTCCAGCTGATCGGCCCTCACCACTACAGGTGGGAAATGAAAAAAAAATACAAAAAAAAAAAAAAGCGTCGGATGCATCTGCCCGTGTTCGACCTACGTGTGCATTCTCAATTTTCATATTTCGAGAGTGGAGTGGCGATGCCCTTGCGCCCGGCCGCTGCTCCCGTGCGAAATGAAAAAAAATACAACAACAAAAAAAAAAAGGTGTCGGATGCATCTGCCCGTGTTCCACCCAAATGTGCATTCTCAATTTTTTTATTTCGAGAGTGGAGTGGCGATGCCCTTGCGCCCGACCGCTGCTCCCTCCGCCGACCTCCGCCGCTTTGAAATACAACGCGGAGCGGGCAGATGCGAGGAGGCTCACAGTGCGGGACAGCCCGTGGTTGGCCTATTCCCAAGACAACCCTTGGTGGAGCTGCAAAGACGAAGTCTGGCACGTTTTGGCATGGCCAAGAGCAGCCCCCTGGACGAGGCAGCACTATATAAGACTGGCTCGTCTTTCGTGGTTGGCAGGTAGTTCACAAGGGTATTGTGGTGCGGCTCAGGAGGCGGCCGCAGTCTTCAGGATTCGGCAGCAGCACTATGGAGGAGCGCTGCAGGAGTAGCGTTAGTTGTAGTCTTCAGCGCTGGGCGCTTGTAGTAGCGCTAGAGTACTGATGGAGAGAGGGGGTTGGCAAGGCCAGGGAAACTTACCTGAGGCACCATAGCTCCAGCTTCATCTTCGAGGTATGTGCAGCAAGGCACCAACTTCACAGGGTGACTTACCTGAGGAGGAAAACCATGGGGGAGGACGCATAGGAGGAAGAGGGCAGGTGGAGGAAGAGGGCAGATGGAGGGCAAGTGGAGGAGGAAGACGGTGGGGGAGAGGGGAAGAGGGGAGGAAGAGGGAGATGGCGGCTGCTTACCCGCACGTTTCGCATCGGGGACCTGTGGTCCGGGGCGGACGCTGTGGACTGGCTGCGGACTGGAAGCCAGGGTCTCCACCTGCACACGACAGCAGTCCGTTCGAATTCGAACAACTGTGGGTCCCAAACTTCGCGGTCTCAAAATTCGCCCCGATGAGGCACAACAGTCCGGGGCAGACCCTGGACCACAAGCCTTGTGCCAAAGGCTCTGCATGGCCCTCCAACGTGGCTGACTGGACTGCAGTCACAAACTCCGCGGTGCGACATTTCCAGCAAGCGGAGTTTCGACTGCATTGTAAACTTCGCAACAGACTGAACTGCAGAAACGGTGTTTGGAATGCATTTTCAAACTAAAACCATGACAGCGACCTAGTTTTCTTTTTTTTTTTCGTCTTTAGTTTGTAAGAGAGGCGTGCTCTCCGCTGACACACACACACACACACACACACACACACAAACACACACACACACAAACACACACACACACA